GGCACTCAAAACGCACTAGTGTGCGAGCAATAGGTAGTTCAACCCCAACCCACAACCCTGTAATTTTCCAGCAAAAACCGCAACATCCTTGGCCATAGCCCCCCTTCATGGCATAGCCCGCCCCGAATAATTACTCCACCGGCGTACCAAACAAATTGGCGTAATCCCGGCGTACCGTTTTCTCTGACCTCTGTAACCTCACCTCTTCTTGCACACCCCCCCCTCCCTCTCCCTGCTCCGGTGCACCCTTGTCCCACTTTCTTGGAAGGACAACCTGGAGATAACCTGCCGTCGGGCGAGCAAGTAGAAGATGCCCTCGACTACCTTCTGAACGGTGTATACCACCGCAGCTCCGGGAACGCCGAGGACCCCATCGAGTTGGAAGACGGCGACGACGATGTTGCGGACGGCGGGGGAGCGGCGGGCTTGCGGGACAACGGTGGTAACGATGGGGAATTGCCACCGGGGCAGCTCGAGGACGGCGGCGGGCCGGAGGAAAGCGAAGGTGGTGCACCGGGGGTGGTGGGGATCAAGGAGGAGCCAGCCGTCGGCAACTAGGGCGACGGGGATGGCGCCCCCTCCGAAGATATCGAAGAGTAGACGGCGGGTATCCTGACAGGTCCAACAAGTGGATGGACCCCTATCTCCTCACCTACTGCCTTATCGGAAGGCCAAGCAGCAGCGAGGACCCTGACGTTAGGACCGCGCGGAAAACGTCCGGGCCGAGGGGTCGCGGAGGTAAGCAGAAGGCGAAGAAAGGGTCGCCCAGTACTAGCGACGGAAGCGGGTCGAAGATAAGCGGTGCGTACACCGAGGTAGATTTGTCGTCGAGCGCGATTCGGATGTTAGCAGGGGTCGGCGAAATTCAATGCCGTGCGCAGGTGAAGAACGAGCACGCAGCTGTGGCGGCGGTGAACGCGCAAGAGCAGGCGCGCCATGTCCAGCAGGCCCATACAGGCAAGCTGGTGACAGCTGTGGAAGCTTTGTCGGCAGCCGTTGTGTCGAGGCAGGCTTTGGACGAAGAAGCCGCCCACAGGGCTCGCTGCGATTACGCTCGCTTGGCCAAAAAAGCTAAAATCGACGACCTCAGGAGGAAGTTGGAGTTTTCGCTGGAAGGGCCAAGGGCGATGGCACTGCGAGCCTCTATCTATATCGGCCTTGCATGACATGGATGACGCCGACTTCATGCTCAAACCCATCTCGGCCCCGACGCCACCCGCTGCAGGAGGTGCCCCGAGTACATCCGCGTCTGTGTCGGTGTCATCTGCAGCGGCACCGCCTGCCACTGCTCCTGAGGTCACTGCCCTGCCTGCGTCCATTTCGACATCGCCTGCAGCTTCAACACCCGCGTCTGCGGTCGGGCTAGCGACCTTCCCTACGTCCGTGTCTTCATTGCCTGCTACGGCAACGCCCACTTCCACTGTCCGAGACGTTGATCCCATCGTTTTGGGCGCAACACTGTCCAGGACAAGGTCAAATGCCCTCCCGGGATTTGCCAGGGCGCGGAAGAGGGGTGTTGGTCATGAGGGAGAGAGAGAAAGGAGAGTTTTATACACGAATCCCCTGAGAGGAGACGTTGCATTTTTTTTCGGCAGTTAGTTTTGCGAGCTGGTGTGCGTACGTTTTTTCAGTTTTCGCAATGTTTTGCTGTGTAGCGTGTAGAGGTCCCCCCCCCCCCTCCCCCCCGTCCCAGTCCCCGGCACTCACGTTTGTTTTTTGTTGTGTGCCATCCAACCTGTCTTATCTTTGGCCGTGTGTTCTATCCTGTAGACTATGTAGCCTGCTTGTTTGTTTTTTTTCGCACGGGCTACGGTAGCAGCAGCAATAGGTTTCCTTGTCACACCCCGTCCCCGTTGCCTGTACCCTGTGGCCACATTTGTTTGTTGTGTGCCCGTGTTCTCTCTTGTAGACTATGTAGCCTGCTTGTTTTTTCTTTTGCGCACGGTCTACGGCAGCAGCAGCAATGTTTTTCCTTGCCACCCCCCGTCCCCGTTCCCTGTACCGTGTGCCCACATTTTTTTGTTGTGTACCATCCGACCTGTCTTATCCTTGGCCGTGTTTTTTCTTGTGGCCTGTTTTTTTTTTTGCGTACGGGCAACAGCAGCGAATGTCTCCGCTTCCGGTTCAATGTTGCTGTTTTGTTTTGTCCCCCCATCAAGCTGGGGGAAAATAATTGTAAAACACATGTCAGGAAAGAATCCCTCATGTCGCTTTCGACAAACCAACCTGCCAAATCAACGACGTGGACCTACGGTAGACTTTCTTCGGCATGTGCAGCGTGATACCGTTGGTCAACAAAAGACAATTAGCNCGTTGGTCAACAAAAAAAGTCATTTATGAGTTGTCGAAACCCAGACCGTCGTTGGGAGTGCAATCGAGAAAGAGATAATGAATCATTCTTCACGCGACGGTTGCAGACGGTTCCATTTGAGAACAAAATCCAGTCCAATTTGGTCGACGACCTACATCTCATGCCTCCAGGGACATGCGAAGGGAACCCGATGGGTGCTTCGAAGTATGTCTACAAAGAAAGACGTCCACACAGGGGGGGGGCGGCGTACTCTTATGGTTTGCATGCCTCAGCGGGTTGACCATTGACCACGCGTCCTCGAGAGGACGGAGCATTATTCCCACAGGACCGATCACCGATGGCCAATCGTTCCTTTCTACTTTGCCAAAGGTGGCTCAAAAATGTCTTCCCTAGTCTGTCTATCCTAACGATATCCCTTCCCGCCTTTTCAACCCACCTCCTATGCCCCACTACAGCTACCGTCCTTTCCTCTCTATTCCATGCCTCAAACATCTCCCTGTACGTTCCATCTATTTTTCCCAGCTCAGTCACGTACACTTCCCTCTCCTTCTTGTACAACGGACATTCCGCGACTACATGAACACGGTCTTCGCATTCGAAGCCGCAATCACATTTGAACTCGTCGTCTTCCTCGTCTACGGTCCTATGTCTTCGTCGACGTTCTCGAAGGCCTATGTTCCCGGTCCTGAATACTACCTTAAGCTTTGTTCCTGCATCCATTGGTCCATGTAGGTAGTCCTTGAACCCT